CTGGATGTTTGACCTTCACTGTAAAGATTGATGTAGAGTCTGTGCAGCATTGGATGCTAGAAGGCTGTTCTCAGACTCCCGAAAGTGGAAAGTTTTCATTATACCTCACCTAAATTCTGAGTTTAAGGCGTTTACCTGGCAGCATTTGTGACATCAGAACTAGTTTGGAAGTCGGTCCTGGTCCAGCAGGAAACTTTAGGAAACTGTGATGCAGAAACTTGAAGCCTGAACTGAAGATGGTCTTTCAGAGATGCTGGAGTGATTGTGTATGCAGCATTTAAAATGAAAAAATGTTTGTTCATGTATTCTGTATTTCTGTATGAGAGAAGGTGAAGATCTAATTTTCTATAAGTATTCCTAACAATGTCATTAACCTTTTCTTATTACTCCAAACAGAGTATCTTATGTCCTCCAATGTGCCCGGGGTGGGGAATGTTTACATTTTCTCAATGATGGGGTCAGCAGTAAGTTTATGCTGTCATTGGGCAAAAACACAGCAAAAATGATTCAGCATGTTGTGACACAAGAAGTCAGAAAGGAAATGATACTTCTGAACCTCCGATTGGCTTCACTTTCTGGCTTAAGAAAATCTAGGCCGTAACGGGAGAACTTGGCCAAACTCGGGTCATTTCAGATGGAGAGCTTCGTTCCAGTTGGCCGTTCTACAAATGCTGATGCGTCTGCATCTCCCTTCAGACGGCGGAAAGTCTGATTTAATGGCGGAAAATTCTACAGGAAAGGTGTTATTTCAGAATCGGCAAAAACTGCATAAACTAAAGGCAACCAAAAAAATAATAAAAAAAAGATTTTCACAATAAATGCAAAAACCACGTAGATATCGGTGAAGCATATTCATAGAAGTGGAGTCATACCCAGTTACTACTATATTCCAAGCTTACTGTTTTTCTCCTGGACAGCTAAGTTGCTAACTTCATTTTCCTGTAATATCTAAATGTGTTGTAGTAGTTCATGAGGTACAAGTAGTTTTACCATTAAAGCTGTTAAAAGAAGCAAATATTTTAGTCTTCTGCTAACTAAAGGCTCACGGTTGCAATGTGGCTCATTTAATTTCATGTTTATGTTAACATTTACAATTAAGCTTGTTTTTTGTGCACATATGAAGCACATGCATATGGGGCTGTATTTCCAAATTGTGGTGTTTTTTTTTTTGCCTTTTCCAGATGTCTGCTTACCCCAGCTTTAAAACTAACGATTAAGCAAATAGTATTTGTGATTATGGGTACAGTAGGTCTTCAGAAAGTTAATACAAGTCGATGCCATGTCCCCTGAAGTGATGTGGTGTGTGTTTGTGGCACTTATGTGAGTACCTGATTCAGATAGTAGTAAGTCTCAGCTTCCTGCAGATACAGCGAGCGCTTCTCATTAGGAGGAAGACCTGCCAACATCTCGTAGAAGATGTGGTAGTTTCTCTCCGATTTGGCCTGCGAATGAACACACACACGAACAAGTCACTCACATATTCACACAAACTGAAAATGCTCGTTAACTTTGAACTGTGGTTGTGGAATTTTTGTTTACAGAGTAATGGATATCGTATCTGAGGGACATAAATGGATGAATGGATTGACTGATGGGTGAAAGCGACTCTGTTGGGCAAAGACATGGACGTGTTGAACACTTCTCGCGCTGTCTGCTACAATCTCCTCTTTCTCACTATGACTCAGGTGTAAGGAGACTCCACCTGACCTGCTGTGTGCATGTGTGTCCCTGTGTGTTCTTGGGTTTTTCACCTGAAAGACAATGCGGGACTTCTCCAACAGGTACTGAGACGTTATGGCACCGCTGATTACACCCCTGGGACATGTCACACAGGCAGACACACACACACACACACACACACACGTAACAACCACACACACACACACACACACACAGTCAGACTGTGTTAAGTAACAAGTCATGCATGTGTAATGCGTTTGGATCTTCTTTGTCACAGTTCTAATGGAAGATCAACTACTTATCTAACTGTGCTAGTGGGACATGTTCGCATATTCTCCACTAAGCCCAATGTTTCAGCATGTGTGTGTGTGTGTGTGTATGTGTGTGTTAAGCTAACCTACTGGCTGTTTGTTGGCGATAAAAGGAGCTCATGTTCATCTAACAAACTACAGCAGACCTCCACTCTTAATGTAGACAAATGCCGTTGCAAGATTTCCGTGAAAAAGTTAAGTCCATGACATATGGTACCTGTAGCAACACGTTGTCATAGCAGCAACCAACTGAATTCACCAGAACCAGAAATATTGACTATGATCATTTTCTTATCTCTACAAAAAAATTTTACAAATATTGAACGAGTTACAGAGTAATAAGTATGTCGGAATTTAGGTTGAACAGAAGATGACTTTCAAACATCACGTTACCAAACTGGTGACAGAATAAAATTGAACTGTTAATAGGAATAAATTGTGTTTCCCTCTGCATTGCAGAAGGATACTGATTGAGACAACGTTGCTATTCATTCTAGATTATGGTGACATTTTATACACACCTGTGACTCTTCAGTCTTTGGACACTGTTTATCACTCTGCATTAACATTTATTGTTGGTGATAATTGTGAGCCGTATGCTAAGGTTGGGTGGCTCTGCTTTCTCTGTAAGGTGGGACAGACACTGGGATTTATTCATTTATGAGGGCTTTCCTGTTTTTTACGCCCTTACATTACTTCGCTGCTGTCTTTTGATGTGGATCCTTGTCAAACAAATGATTGGATTGCGTTGCAGGTGCTGAACTGAACTTGGAAAATATTGTTTTACTAACTGTGCACCTACAATCTGAAAAACATTCAGAACAAACAAGATGTTGCTTCATTTCCGTTTTTTTATTTCATGTTATCTTACATTCAACGGCTCTGCTATTTTCCTGGATGTGTTTTGTCATACATCTGTATTGATCTATTTGTGCCTCATGGTTTTATTCATTTATTCATTTACGAATTTGCCATTTTAATATTTTCATTGCCAGTTTTTCTCTTATTTGTGTGCCAACGTCCTCTGTTTATTTATATCTTTGTTTAGCTATATTGTAAGACCTTTACACCAAAGTAGGCCCAAGTTCAAATAAAGGCTGAATTCCAGTCTGGTGTCAAGGGTTTAAAGAAAGGAAATCACTTTGTTTACTTTTGAGGTGTTTTCTTGAAAACTGCGAGTATTGTGTGGCTGAATCCATCCTTTAAAGATCACTTAAATTCACTGCATTAAAAGCCCCTCCAAATTGAAACCACTGATGATTTTGAGTTCTTTGCTACATTGTTAGAAGTTGTCTCTACTCACCCGTCCATGAAGATCTGTGTGTATTTGCCAAAGCGTGAAGAGTTGTCATTGCGCACTGTTTTGGCATTCCCAAAAGACTCCAACAGGGGCGTGGCCTCGAGGATCTGACCAATCACCACAGACAGAAATGTTATCATCGCTACCTTTACCAGGAATGGAGGTTGTCATGAGAGCAAAACAAGAGGAGGAACGCTTTACCTCGATCTGAAAGAAAATGGCAGATTTGAAGAAGAAGAAGAAGAAAAGAGAAAATAATGTTAAACTGCAACAACATTAGGTTAAGTGTGTATGCGAGTACATAGAAGCAGATACTGGATAGTTACCTGTTGTGTGACATTGCGTTTGTGATGTATGGCTGTCAGGTAACGCAAGATCAGTTTAGTGGCTTCAGTCTTTCCTGACCCACTTTCTCCACTGGAATAACAAAGACCATTAAAATGAGCCTTTTACTGCACTTATTTTTCTTTAGTGCTTGTAAAGGAGATAAATGTAGAATCTGGGCAGGAAATCAATATGAACATAGGTGTTGTTAAAAAAATAAATAAATAAATCTGAGTGAAAGAACAGCATTTCACTGTTTGAATTATTTGATTTTTAAAGTTTTGTATGAGTACTGCCCCACCAAGGTGACCATAAGGCAGGGTCTGTACTGTAGACAACAGGCTTCACTTTGAGTCTGAAGCTCTTCCCTGAGGCTGGAGATTTAGATTCAAGTTGGGTTCAAGTACAATAGGAGTAAAAAGTTTTCTGTGCAAAAACCCAGCTTAACTTGGGTGAGTAATTTTAGCATTTTTGTGCCCTATGAAGTGCATATACAGGAAACATTTAATATTTTTGTTTATTGTAAAAGCATACTTTTAAAAAACTTTTTCCAGCCAAGTTTCCCATTTAGAACAACAAAATGACTGCATTACAACAGCATTATATACCTGATCACAATGCACTGGTCCTTTTTGGCATCCATCATGGTGGTATATGAGAGATTAGCAATGGCAAATAGATGACTGCAACACAGCAAAACATTTTTTTTAAGGAAACATGATCATCAGTTGTGTGTACATGTCTAGTGTGTGTGTGTGTGTGTGTGAAGAAAGGAAGTGGTGGTGAAATCCATAACCAAACTCTCCCTTGGCAACCAACCAATAGCAGTGTAATTGGAGCCTGTTACTAACACCTGAGAGTGCTGCATTTTACACCTTTGCTTACCACCATATTGTATCTCAGAGCACAGCTTACGACACATGTAGACAGATGTTGTACAACCACGCACAAGCACACACAGTCAGTTAGAGGTTAAAGAGTTATATTAATTTTATTTTATTGATCTACTCTAGCCAGAACTAGAAAGCACTCAGAGACCTCATGGTTCTACTAAAGCTGCATGATTCTCTAAATTTGCTATTTAAATTAGACGAAATCTTTAGAATTTGTTCATCAGCATCTGGCCGCTCCTTTATAAAACACACACAGTAAGATCATTATGAGTTACATATAGCAGATGCGTCCATTAAAGTGTGCTCAGCAGTCTATGAAAAGTGAAAACAGCTTATGTCTTAATGTTTATATCTTCTTCTTATCAACAGATGGACAAACAAACCAGACTGAAAACATTAGTTTCTCGTTGAACGTAAGCGAGGTCAAACCGGTCTCACACACAGACACACACTGCCGGGGCTTACGGAGGGTTGTCACTCAGACCACGACCTTCATACTGGAGCACCATATCTGTGCCGTAAATGTTGAGCAACTTGTATGGGTTCACAGAAACAAGGATGCTGCCAATGTAGGTCTGCGTGAAAGGACAGGACGGAGAGAAAATTAATGGACACAGCTGGCAGTGTCTGTGGCATTTCACGGTATCAGTTATTTAATTTGCATATTAGAAATTAAGCATACGTATACAAGTTCCTGGTCATAGCGTTTCTTCAGGTTCATCAGAACTGTGGTCTCATTCAGCTCGCTGAAATTAAACACAGAGGAAACTGAAGCACATGTACTGAGCACATATTGCCAAACTGGAGCAGCATTCCCACATTCACTTTGACATCCAGTATTAATTACTTTTCAAAGGCAATCAAGATCTTTCTGATTTCTTAAAAGCTGCTGTTGAAGTGACACAAATATCTAATGCAAGTGTTCCCTCGGGTTGTGAAGTGATGATAGTTCGACACAGATCTGCAAGAGTGCCGCATTTTCATAAAATACTCATATTTAACAGACATAATGATAGTGTTTTCTTTCTGAACTCCACCAATTTTTAAAGACTTTCAAAGCCTGCAGGCACACTGGGACACACACAGCAAATTGCTGCTTGAAGAAAGTGCCATGAAATGAACTGTGCTGCTCTGTGCCGGAGCAACAGAACGCTTGTAAGGGTGTGACATGAGTGAATGAGCAGTGAGGCTGTTTGCTAATACTGGATTATGCTTACGGGAGCTGTGTCATGTCCTCCATTCCCTCCGCCCAGCGTTTAACCCTGTGGCCTGTTGTGGGCATGCTTAAGATAGAGTAGATCTGGACACAAACGCATAATGGCATGTAATTACTCCAACACTGTTGAGTAGCATTGCCAAAGCTTGAGGCATATTGTCAACACTTGATGCAGAGCTGTTGTAAAATATGCAGATTCTCTTGTTTGTGAACTCTACAGGAAAATAATTTTGTGGGACATTCAGCTTGTAGGCTTCACAGTTACTGCTCGCATAATTTCTATATTGCACTCCTACCTATTGCAATTTATTGTCCAACAACAGACACAAATTAAAAAATTGAAATTAATAAAAATTGATAAATGCTGCTACATATCAATAAACATTTCATACCTTGTCGTACCAGCTCTGACCTGGCACTGCCTCTCTGTCAGGAGTCCAGTCTGGGTCCTGAGGCTGTCCGTCCACAACTCGAGGTGTAGGTGAATATCCTTCTAACACCCCATCTTCTCTGTACATGGACCACTTAGACAAATTCTGGACCGTCCCATGTGGTAAAACCCTCTCAGCTGCCCAAACATCCTCCCCTCCTTCCCCTCCTCCTCGGGCATTCCTGGCCCAGTGGCCTGAGCGTGGCCCATAAGGGGGAATCACAGCGTAGCGATTGTCCTCGCCCTGCAGTCCTGTTGGCACCGTGTATGAGGCATAACGGAGGTGCTGGTTTTGGACAGCTTCAGACAGGCTCGGGTTGTGGAACCGACGTGTGAGAAGAGACTTAGTAGGCAGCCTGTGAACAATCAAGACTTGTCACAAGATTGCACGATATTGGCAAATTATGATGCCGAAATAGCTCTGTGTAATTTGTCATTGTAATTTAAATAGCAATGCATGCAATCTTGGAACTAAACCTGCATTTTAAATGGAGAACTGGAGACACAATTACTTTTAATACGTCTGAAAAGTACAGGTGCAAGTGTAAACAAAAGCTTGATATGTTTTCTTTACAGCTGAGACAACATCCTTTTCAAAAACACAAAATATTCAAAATGTCCTTATTGCCATAATTCTTATGGTAAAAATAAATGTATTCAGATGCTGCTCACTGTCAGTAACCAAAGACAGAGCTGTTCACGCTCAAACAGAGACTAAATAAAATTAAAAATGTCCACTAGCGCAAATGCAGCATATTCATAACTAACTAACCATTAAACCCAGCAGTGCAGTTTTTATGTTAAAAATTGCACAAAGTAAAACAGCCTTTCTCTCTTTTAGTCAACATGGAGGACACAATTATTTTGTTGAAAAAAAACACAACCCAAAAAACAATTTTAATCAAAAGCGATCAGGGGTTTAATATTTACAGTCAGTGTCAGCGCCACATGGTTGTCAGTCATTAACTTGCAGCGTGTAAGAAGAGAAGCCGCAGGTTGTGGCCGACCTAGAAGGCCGATTAAAACTCAAATTCTAGCTCAACATGTAGTGTGAGTTAACACATTGTACATGTTTAATGAGACTGGCACAGTGCCTGCCCAGGTTTCAAAGCTAACCCTGCTAACACGCTATCGCTGATGACCAACAACTGTTTTGTTGCTGTGAAGTTCAGGGTGAAACTCTCAGTCAAGCGTTTTCATTCCTGGAGCACAAGTATATTAACATAAATACTGTAGATTTCTGACTCTAAGTTTTTGGCTCACAAGCCGTACTGAAATGAGAAGACTTTATACTGAACTGACTGTCGCATACAAGATGGTTCAGGATGAATACAGGTAATTTTACGATACAGTATTTTACTCAACTTTGTGCTTTGAGATGCAGTGGATCGTCTATAGTCCTTTGGAGACAAACAATCTGGTTTTGTTTTTGGGTTTAGTTCTTTTTTTCAGTCGACACTGATAAAACGTTCACGTCTAGCTCGCGGTATGATTTCTTAACAGGTATTCTGTGCAACCCCTGGAAAAGCCTATTAGGTCATTTGTCCCAGTTTCCATTAATAGTGTAGTTTCCTACCTGTAAAGGACACCATGTAAGTCCTCATTCTGCAGCGCAGCGGCAAGGTTGGGAGGGGTGGGTTTAGGCACACCTGTCAGTACAGAGCTGTCTGACAGATGATAGAGACCTGCAGCACGAAGTGCCTGGTTTTGCCTCAAAGCAGCTGCTAGGTTTGGAGATGATGGCTTCTGGCCAGGGATAACCAGGGAACCATCAGGGAGCTGGAATGTTGCACCACGAAGGTTCTCATTCAGAAGAGCCTAGACATGGCAGAAGAAAGACACCAAGTATTTATTCAAGACTATAATCGCTTTATTTCTCTAGAATGTACACTAATGTACTAATATTGCACAGTTTACTTGTGTGTAATTGCTTGAATACTTGACTTTAGACAAAAACGGGGACCCAAATACTAAAAACAGAGCAAATGAAACAAAGACATACTTTGGCAAAGATAAACTGTTGTAATTTTAACAAGTACACACTTTAGATAGGTTGGGGCCAACTGGTTTCCGTGGGTCAATGATGATGGTTCCATCAGGTAGAGTGTAGGACACACCCTTTAGATATGGATTCTGCAGGGCGGCTGCCAGGTTAGGGCTCTTTGGTTTCCTCGGGTCCACGATAATAGTTCCATCTGGGAGGGTGAATGAAGCTCCTTTCAAAGCTGGGTTATTGAGAGCCTAAGGATTACAACAGCTGGTTTCAGTTAAGAATGCCCTGAGATATCATTAAACAAGTGCAATCTAATTAGTCCTTAGCGAATTAAAGCAGCAGTCTAGGTTACTAACTGTGATAAGCAAAATTAAAGCTATGTCAACATGTGGAGACTTTTTTGAATCCCCAGATGTTTGCCCTTGCACACAAGCCCTACTAAATGAGGAGGGGAGAGAGGGAGATAACACACACATAGTTCTGAATCCATAGCTAACCTTAGCGAGGTTTGGTGATACAGGTACATTGGGGTCGTGAACGCCCTCTGGTAGCGTAAAGGAGGCGCCTCGCAGTGCAGAGTTTTGAAGGGCGTTGGACAGGTTTGGAGAGACAGGTTTCCGTGGATCAATGATGATAGTGCCATCCGGCAGGGTGTAAGATGCGCTTTTTAGGTAAGGGTTCTGAAGTGCGGCTGCAAGGTTTGGGGACTTTTGTTTTTTAGGGTCAATCACAATGGTCCCATCGGGGAGAGAGTAGGAGGCTTCACGCAGGAGTGGGTTGTTTAGGGCCTTAGCCAAGTTTGGGGAAATTGGCTGCTGAATGACCAGACATAACAAAGTAAGAAAAATATTCATTAGCTTTACCTAATACATAGTTAACAATGGTACCAGTAGACAGAAGAATGGATGACAGCAATGAAAGGTAAATTCGATTAAAGTAATGGACTGAGTTTTGGGTTACTTGCTGTCTAGGATCTATAATGGTGCCATCAGGAAGAGTATATGTAGCAGACTTGAGGTCCTGGTTCTGAAGAGCTCTGGAAAGGTTGGGAGACATTGGCTTCTGTGGGACGCGAGGGTCCTATGTTGATAGGGGGGGAAAGTCATAATAATATTGCAATAATACAGTTATTTTCGTTGTAGACAAACATAAATGGGAAAGTAATGATGATACACTCTTTTGATACTGACCCTAATAACTGATCCATCTGGCAGGGTATATGAGGCTCCACGGACCTGTTGGTTTTGCAATGCACTGCCAAGCAAAGGAGAGGAACGTGGATCTGTATATGGTGACACCATGGTTCCATCTGGCAACCGGTATGATGCCTGCATTAACTGTGAGTTTCTCAGGGCACTTCCTAACATTGGTGAAGAGGGTGGCGGGGGTCCATATGGGGACCGTCTGAGTTGCATAGGTGTCTGAAAAGATGCTTGGCGAAGGTTTGAGCCCTGCTGAAGAGCACTGTGGAGCTGGGGCCCAGTTGGTGCATAAGGGTTGCGACGTTGCATCATAGGGGATCTTAAAGTTGAGACACTCTGCAAACCAGATCGGTTTTGCAATGCATCGTGGAGCAGTGGTGCTGGGCCAGGCTCAGAGATATAATCATATGGAGTAACAACAGTTGGACCATAGGGTGAACGTAACTGTGGAGTCTGATAAGAAGCCACACCTCTTAGTGCCTGACCATGCCTCATAACCCCAGAGAGCATTGGAGTAGAAGGTACAGATTGGGCATATGGCGACTGAGGTCTCTGAAGTGGAGACACATAGGACGCATCTCTTAGTGCTTGGTTTTGCAAAGCACCAGATAGCATTGGAGAAGAGGGGGGCATAGGCTGTTCATAAGGTGACATTGGCCTTTGTAAAGGGGAAGCATAGGATGCATCTCGTATAGCTCGATTCTGCAGAGCCCCAGACAATGCGGGAGATACAGGGGCCATAGACTGCTCATAAGGGGACACTGGTCTCTGTAGTGAGGGAACATAGGGTGCATCCCTAATTACTTGGTTTTGCATTGCACCAGACAGTGTAGGGGATGAGGGAACATAGTGTTCTACTAATTCAGGAGCCATGTCATCCATGCCTACCATTTGGGCTGCCCTTGGTCCAAGGGTGGAAGAGAAAGAGGCTTGTCGGATAACCTGGTTCTGCAAAGCACCAGAAAGCATGGGAGAAGAGGGAGCAACAAACTGTTGTGACTGCCCAGTGTAAGGGTCAGCGTAGGGATGGACAGCACGCGGCGGCAGGAGGGGAGAGGATTGGCGAGAAAGTCGAGGAGAGAGGCGTGGGGACGCAGGATGTGGCATGTGTTTAAGAGAGAGCTGTGGGGAGGCGGGAGGCATCCTTCTTCGAGACTGCTGGGCCATGAGGGGGCGTCCTCGAGCTATAGGGCGCAGGGGAAGTCGGCCAGATTCTCTTCTCCCCAGGGGAGCACGGTGGACCATGTGAGGTGAGTGGAAAGGAGAGGAGTGAAGGGAGGAATCCACTGTAAGAACAGAAGACCTATTGCTCCTTATCGAAGAGGCACGGAATGGGCGCACATTCTGGGTGGGTGGAGGTACTGGACGCCCTCGGAGACCCATAGGGGAGGGCCTCACAGTGCCTAAAGGAACATTTCCCCCCATCCTAGGCCTGGCCAATGGTGTGGGGTCCCTAAGCAGCCGAGTTGAACGTCGAGAAAGGGTAGGAGATGACGGGGCAGGCCGTGGCCCTGCAGGAGATAAACTACGGCGAGATAGGGAGGGAGAGGGAGATGGTCTTCTGCTGAGTTGTGGAGAGTGAGGGGAAGGTGCACGACCAGGGGAGAAGGAAGGAGAGGGTGACCTATGCATCTTTCTCCCTGCAAAGGGGCTGCGGGCAGGAGTGGGTGATTGTGGGGGACTTTGCCTCCTCATGGAAGCACGGGGTGACAGAGGTGGAGAGCGTTGCCTCATTGATGCTCTCGGTGAGTGTGGAGGACTACGTTGAATCATAGAGGCACGAGGTGAGCGGGCGGGTGAGGGTCCCCGAGCCAATGGAGAAGTTGATCTTTGAGGTTGCATTCTGCGATGAGTGAGTGGGGAGGCCATAGGAGAGGGAGGAGGTGAAATCTGTCTTGACATAACAGAGGGTGGTCTTTGGGCATGAATGAACCCACTCCTCATGGACGGTTGTGGGGAGGGACTGCGTCTGTGAGCAAGCATAGGAGAGGGTATTGGCGAAGCCATTGCAGAAGGATGACGTTGCATCTGTGGGGAGGGCATGATGACAGAACGGCGAGATGGAGTCGGAGAGGGTTGCAGGCGCCGTGCTGGACGGGGGGACATGCTTGCTTGCTTAATGATCATGGCAGTTGGAGTAGGGATTGATGGTGGTCCATAACCCTGCTGCGACATCATCATTGGGTCAGTCATCATCTGCTGCTGAAAAAAACAGAACAATGTTTGATAAATGGAGAGTAGAAAAGGCTAACAAGCTTAAGGATGCAATTATTATCTGCTAGTGACAGTGGATGGAATACTATTGTTATAACTATTTTATCCAACCAACTATTTCTTCCAATGCTGGTTATAAAAAACAGTGTTAGGTTTGAGATAGATTTAACAGCTGACTAGTCAAGCATTTTTTTTTTAACCAACTGCTGAAATTGCAACCCCTCCACTGTCACAAACTGCGTACCGACATTCCTCAAGCCACCTGAAATCATAAGAATGCTCATAATGATAATCCGTTGCACCTGGCTAGCAGTTTGTTCCTGCAGTAAGCTGGATGTCAGTGGTTTTGTGGCAAAATGTAACAGGTATTAGACCTCTACTGTGTTTTCTAACCTTTTCCTTTATAATAAGACAGGCAATATAATAGGTCATAGATACAGTGAATGGTTGGAGAAAAACACAATTAAAAAGTTTAATGTCAGCTGCTGATGGCAAGAATGTAAGTAAGCAAACTTGGAGATCAGGAATATAGCTGTTGAGTTATCACAAATATTCCTACCCAACATTATATCATAGAAATATTTTATTTACTCCAGCACTGCTGTCATTCATTGTCTTGCATTAGAGTTTTAGATTTAATTACTTGACAGCTACCAATGTTGAGCAAGATTTTTTTCTGTTGTTAGCGATACCATGTCTTTCCTCATTGGGTGGGATTTCTTAAAACAAGGAATTACAAGGTGTGTAACTCACTCTAGCTCTGAAGAGTATAGTTACATAGAATCAATGACACAGCTGAGCGAGAATTACCTGTGGTGAAATCAGCTGTGGAGACATCATCTGTTGCTGTGGCATCATCATTTGCTGTGGCATCAACTGCTCTTGAGGTGACATCATTTGCTGTGCCATCATCTGCTCTTGTGGTGACATCATTTGCTGGGCCATCATTTGCTCTTGTGGTGACATCATTTGCTGTGCCATCATCTGCTCTTGGGGTGACATCATTTGCTGGGCCATCATCTGCTCTTGTGGTAACATCATTTGCTGGGGTAACATCTGCTGCTGGGGTAACATCTGTTGCTGTGGTGACATCATTTGTTGCTGGGGGGTCATAATCTGTGATGGCATCATTTGGGGGGACATGCTGTGTTCTTGTAACATCATCTGTTGCTGTGGTGACATTATTTGAGGGGGCATCATCATTGGTTCTTGGGGGGCCAACATAGTTTGCTGTGGGGACATCATCATTTGTTGCTGAGGTGACATCATTTGTTGTTGGGGAGACATCATTTGTTGTTGGGGAGACATCATCATTTGTTGTTGTGGAGACATCATCATTTGTTGTTGTGGTGACATTCCCATTTGCTGCTGGAATGACATCATGTTACCTGGCGCAAAAGGAACCTGGTCTTCATATTGGATTTCTGACATGTCTTCAAATTCTGGATCAGGTGGCAAAGTAGGGGGAGGGGGCAAGGGAACATCTAGGCGCTCTTTTCCAAACAGGCGCACCTGAGGTCTAGGAACTCTGAATGCCATGTCCCCTCCCTGAACTCCACCAGTATCATCCCCATATTGATCCAACTGGCCTGCATACGGGTCCCCATACAGGCCCTGCGGTTGACCTAGTCCTTGCCCTCCCATGCCAAACATCTGCTGGCCTCCTGGTTGGAATCCAACGGTCTGCTGGGAACTGAAGTCTTGGTAAGGCATGCCAACATCACTATAGCTAAATTGATAGTCTGGTGATAATTCCCCTTGCATCCCCATACCTGCTGCATAAGGGTTCTCATAATAACCTGCCTGGCCATTGTCATAGTAACCCATCTGATTATCGTAGTAAACTGCATGACCATTTTCATCATAGTAACCCTGAGCCTGTGGGTCAATAAATCCATCTACCTCTCCTCCATACATATGGTCCTCACCCATTTGTGCATAGTAGTCCAGTCCCTCATCACCATACATTGCCTGTTGTTGCTGGTAACCATAGTAATCATCTTCCTGGTTGTCATAGTAACCTTGGGCAGAGGAGTAAGGGTTATAGTAATCCCCCATACCTTCATCATAAAGACCACCCTCATAATACTCTGCATTTGGATCATAGAGTCCTTCTTCTTCATAGTAACCCAGGTCCTGATAGTCTGCCCCCCCTGCCCCATCATCATAGTAACCAAACTGACCCTGCCTTCCATATACTGCAGCCTCGTCTTCGTAACCACCATAAACATCGTCATGCCCTCCATACCCTTTTTGGTGGCCTGAATGACCATATCCATACATGTCCTCCCCATGCTCATAACCATCGTTATGGTAACCACGGAGGTAACCTCTGGAGCTGGCTTGTCGGCTGTGTGCTCTGCGCCCACCCCAGCCGTGTTGTCCTGAATTTCCTCGCATTTTGGTGGACAGGAAGCGCTTGGTCAGCCAATTAGTTGCTGCAGCAACCTTACCTAGTAATACACTTCTGTTCTTGAAGTCATCAGCAGGCGCATCACCATCCTTTTTTCTAAATAAACCTTTGAAGAAGCCCCCCGTCTTCTCAATCGATTCTTTCCCTCCTCCCAGACGAAGCAGCATATAGGTTGGCCTCTTCCCACCATTTGCTGCTTCCTTCTCTTTGGCCTCCTTCTCCTTTTTCCTCTTTTTGCTGGCCTTAAACCTCATCATGAATCGAGATGTGTTCTTCAGCATGGACTTTCGCCGTTTCTTCTTCGCAAGGCGGTTCTTTCTCTTCCCTAAACCCAAGAACAAACGGGATGTACTTTTCAGCTTCTTCCTGCTGTTTCTGCGCCTCTTGAAGCCAGAAAACTTCATGAACATCCTTGACATGTTCTTAAGACCTTTCTTTGGAATTTCCTTTATTGGAATCTGTGGAGTGTCATCTTTCTTTTTGGCTTTTTTCTTCTTTGCATCAGCATCGGATTTCCCTCCTTTATGATGATCTTTAGATTTCTTTTTGGATTTGCCATAATCCTCTTCATCCTCATCATATTCTTCATCTTCATCTTCTTCATCCTCCTCTGAGTCTTCCCCCCGTCTAGACTTCCCTCCTTTCTTTCCTTTAGCTCCCTTGCCTCCTCGCCCTTTCCCTCTCCTGTCATCCTCTGAGTCTTCCTCATCCTCTTCATCACTAAACTCCTCATCCTCTTCCTCATCACTCAGGAGCTCCTCCTCTTCTTCCTCAGACTCTACTTTCTTACCTTTACCTTTGTCTTTTCCTTTCTTTCCATCATCCTTCCCCTTGGGTGGCTCCTCCTTTCCCTTCTTTCCTCCTTTATCTTCTTTTCCTCCTTTCTTGTCATCCTTTCCACCTTTCTTATCATCTTTTCCACCTTTCTTATCGTCCTTGCTGGCTTTCTTGTCATCTTTTCCTCCCTTCTTGTCATCCTTCCCTTTCTTTTCCTCCTCTTTCTTTTTCTCTGGCTCAGGTTTTCCACCCTTCTTTGCGTCCTTTTTGGTGTCTTTCTTGCCGGGCATTTTGACTAGTGGCTAGGAGCACACCATGCCCTCTCTACAGGACGCAATGTAGTTAACCTTCAAACACACAAACAGAGATATTACATGTACAGCGTTTTGAAGGCCATGCTGGGATTTTATGTGAAACATTAAGAAAATGTGATGTTTTACACAAAAATTAAAAAACTGACCTTTAACGGATATCCTTGTTTAGATATGCCTGCTTGACTTTGTGCCGGTTCTATACGCAGGTTCAGTGTCTGTGTGAGGACACCTGGCCAAAGCAGCTCTACACAGTCCAAATCTGGTCCCCATGAAGGCTCCTGTTCAGACACATAACCAAATGTAAGCAATTCTTTACCCCACTTCCCCCACACACACAGACACATGCATATACACTAACTCACAACTGGTTCACGCTGACATTTTATATCACTGGTCTATTCAGGAGCAGTCCTAAACTGCATTCACTAAGACCACTAACTAAATGCAACTCACATCTTAGCAACACAACTGTATCATACACGTCAGGTACAGCTACTACCTTACCCAGAGATCTCAAACCTGATACTAAATCCCACTTTGCAGCTCCAGAGCCCACTCAGTTCTTTTGACTGTTAGAGCTCTAACATCTCTGCAATGTGTGCCGACAACCCAGAAACGTCCAGCTTCTATCCATCAATCTCTAATCTGAGAGTTCTGACCCCTACATAGATATACAACCTCTATCACTCTACCCTGCAGTGTTCAGCTCGACAGTAGGTTTACTCAGTCAGAGCTCTAAACACCTTCTATAAATCTAAATTTGCCTCTGTACGCATAGCATCGACTGCATGATAACCTCACAGCAAGCTCTTACAAAATATATTTTTACTGTGTTAGTTTTCCTAATTTCCATCACAGTATGATCCCTGCGGCATTTGCTGTCTGTAAAACTGGATACAGGCATTGAAAACACACAAACAAAAGCTGTTTCTCCAACTCAAGCTCTACCACCTCTATAGTCCAGCCTTGCTCCTGGGGACTAAAGCCAAATTCTGGTGACCAGTGCCACCAAATTCACTCATCAAGGCAGCTTTCCATCATAGTCACCTCCACTTCAATGACAAACGGAACAAAAGTGGAAGGGTGCTGTGTTCGTGGCCTGGGTCTGCAGTCTTCAAAATGTCTTAGCGTCCTGCTCACCGGTTTCTTCTTTAGAAGTTCAAGAAAGAAAAAAAAAAAGGAAAAAAAAAAACCCCAAACTCTTGGCAAGTGTCTTTAGGTCACAGAGCTTCTTCCTCTGACCTACTCTGTCCTCTGTTGCTCACTACAACACATTCACTCACTCAACACGACACTCTGTTCACACTGCCCTCCTCAGAGTGTGTGACAGCGAGTGTGTGTGTGAGTAAATGTGTGTGAGGAAGAAAGAGAGAAGGGCAGATGAGTCGCCTGTTTGTGTGTGTGTGTGTGTGTTTGCATGTGCGTATGTATGTGTATGTGTGTATGTGTGTGTTTGCAGAGCTCCTTGCGGCGGGTCGTAGAAGGAGTCTTAATTTGTCATCTGGCTCTACAGGTGAAACTCGAGATCTCTGGGCGGCTGAGGGGGCGGGGCATAAATAATACAAAAGGTTGAGAGAGCGAGAGAAAGAGAAAGAGAGAGAGAGAGGAAGAGAAAGAGAAAGAAAGAAAGACAGACATGGGATGCGGAAGATAAGCCTGACTGGCAGTAGGATGTCATCAAACCCACAAATGTCCAATAATTAACAACCTCAAATTTCTATACTTGTGTGTGAGAGGAGCCACGTAGACACACATTAAGGCTGTCAGACCTTAAAGTTACCCTGCCTTTTTCCAGAGTAACAAATAGTGTCAGGTGTGTGTATGAGTGAAGATCAATGATGCACCTTCCAAAGAAATATATTTAAACAGCTTCAAAATGAGCAATGCAGGCACCACCAACCTGCTTCCACATACGTAACAGCAGGAGAAGGCGCAGAGGCAGGAGAAACACCCACTTGTTAGAAATGTGACGTCTTCCCTCAAGGTATCAATGACAGAGGAGTGACTCTCACAAACACACATACACAGCCAGTGAAGGATCAGTAACAGGGCTGTGATTATTAGTGCCATCAACCAAATTATTCCTCTTCCAGAGGGAAGGGGTCAGATTGCCAGATCTGTCCTGCAACAGGGTAAAGGTGTTGGGTTGCCAGATCCTGATCTTTTGGTCTTCGTATGTAAGTCTATCTGATCATTACCAAGCGGCAGAGAGCACATGTAAAGTATGCGTGTGCGCGGCGTGTTCATAAAGATGTCTTTGAGTGGGTGCACGTGTGCATTAAAAAGACGGAGAGCGTGATGAAAGAGTGTTTTTCCCTGGATTTCCCACGGTTTGTCTCTATGCGTACATGTGCCTTTGAAGGAGAATGAAAAGACCCTATCAAATGTGAAAAGCTCTGAGTTGCAGCCAGTCTCCCTCTTCCCAAAGCAATCGCTGCTGGCAGGTGGTCCTCCATCTTTTGATAGAATTTGTAGAGAAGAGACAACAGAGAGAAACTGGGATACATGCCCGGGAGAAAAAAGCAGACTTATGACAGAGGTGGACTTGATGAGGCTCATCAAAAGCATTCAGGTCCTGAGGGGAAGCAGCAGACCATCTTTGTCACTTTACACACACATGCAGGCGCACACACAAAGACACACACACACACACACACACACACACACACACACACACACACAGTAATCTGCTGCTATCTAGTGGAGCAGCATTACACCTGCAGCACCCCTAATAGTTTGGTGCTGCTTGGATCAGGTAAGTTTACAGGCCTGCAGCTCCGAGGGTGCACAACACACAGCAATTACCTCACAATTTTGCAGAGTTTGTCAGGATTAAATAGTCTCATAATGAGTGGCTCAGAGACTCATCAGGCAATCAGACACCAGCAGAAACATTTACCTTGCAGGAGAGAGGCACACTAATCAAATGCAAAGGCAAAGGGATAGACTGACTGTGAGAAAGGCACAGAAAAAAGAAGAGGGTGGATCCACTCCACCCCAAAAAACATACCTTTCCTTCGGCACGCCCAACTTGTGGAAGTCCTCACGTTACTGGGGCGCCATAGTCACGTTTCTCCATCCTCTTAGTGGTTCAAAAAGAGAAAGAAAACACGTAAATTAGTGTCTTTTTTTACATGTACTCAATCCTAATCACTCACACAGCTCCTTCGCTGCTGCTGCTGCTCCTCTGGCCGGGCTCACAGCAGTAGGGGTCGGTCAGGAGGGAGGAAAAGTGTGCCACCGGGAACGGGAGGATGAATATTTAACGAGCGGCTATTCTTCGGCGGCCGGCCGGGGGCTTGAGTTCCACACGCACCGGTGAGAAGTGACGAGCTCCGCGGGTGGGCAGCACCGGTCATTCACAGCCATGTAAATAAACGAGGTGGGTAAACTTTGGCAAAACTTAACAATTAGTGAAAGTGTTAATTAAAAAACAAATGTACGTTTTGTGAGCTCCGGGAGATGTGTAGCCTAGCTTAATTGAGTAGGTAGCTTAATTGAGCAGCTAGCTAAAAACAGTTAGCTCCTTCAAGTGTGTGTGGGGGGGAAGTTTGTTTAGCCTACAGCAGCTACCTCCAGAGGTTTTGACATATTTGTTTTTTGTTTTTTTTATTTGTTTTTGTTTTGTTTTTTTTACACTAAACACTTTCCTTCATGTGGCCTGAACACGGTGGGAAAGTGTGTCAGGAGATGGCTCAAGGGGTAAATGGAGCATAACAGATGAAGGTGAGCGTTACGATAAAAAAAAAAAAAAGAAGAAGCTGTACCATTAACGTCTCCACATGAGCAATCCTTCCGCTGCCCGCCAGATGGACCCGGCTGACAACAAACAAACTGCGGAGAGCCTCAAACTGCTGCATCTCCACTGGATTCACTTATAACCCAGACGACCTTGCCGTCTCCCCCACATGACCGGCTGGCCGCTCGTATCAAAACAGGTTTTGGCTTTGATATTAAACCTACTGTGGCGAGCCTCGGTGCAAAAGAGCTCACTGGTTTGGAGGAAAAAAAAAAAAAAACAAGCCTTTGGCTACGTTGGAGCTATTTTTAGCGCTGTTACTGAAACGCAGACTTGCATACTATAGACTTCAACCAATAGGCAAATTTGTAGGATTTTTTTTTCTTCTGATTACGCCTTTTCATACCGTACAGCTGTCTTTGAGCAGTCAGCAGCCAAACGCCACACAGCCAGTCCTGGTCAGTGCACTCAGCTGTGCAGCCTGTCATCCTGTTTTTTTTTTTTTTTTTCTTCCTCCTCGACCAAATCCAGAGCACTGCTTTCATCTTGTGCCCAGTAAACAGCACTTTTCTCCCAACTACTTGTCAATGTAAACAGTTGTCTGAATAGAAAAGTACTGATGTGCAGTGAACCTGAGAAGAACTTCAGAGTTAGATTGGGGTCAGCGGTCCCAAACCTGGGACTCAGATCCTCCACAGGGGGTCTGGATATGAGCTGAAACAAAACGCTTCTGCTGCACATTATTTCTTGAGACTTTTTGTGATGGAAATGCTTTATTTTACCGGCGGTTTTTCTGTTGCATATTTCTCAGATTGACTGTGTGCTCTCTCGTGTGAAGGTTTGTCTCTCATCTATTCTTGTCGGTATCAGGAGACCAGCTTGACCCTGATGCCTTGGAGTGCTCAGGAGGTCTTATCTTGTCTCTTGAAGGCCCACACAAATGATTCTGTGGAGGCTTTGGAGTGCCTTGTTAGTGGAACAGTGAGAGAAAAACCATGAGACGCTGACCACCACCTCTCTTTTCCCTTTGCTGGGAGGTGTATTGAGAGACACACTTCCCTGTAAGATTGACTTTATATCTTTAACTCTTTTCTCAGTTAGACATGAGCCTCTTACGTATGATTTATTGCAATAAATAGCTCTGATGGACTTGTGCACATTGGGAATTTACCTTAGAATTTCCACAGCAAGCCTTCTTCTGATATTTGCCTTATTCTTCTAATAATTTCAGGAGTCT